CTTTTTTTTTCTTTTCTGTGTTCAGATTTAACACATTTATAAACAATCATTTTACACCTGAGGCCCAATGTTAGACATATGATCTCTTGGGTATAATCTATTTATACAAATCTAAATAGAGATTATTTTTGGCATATTTTGGATTCCAAGAAAAAGAACATATTCTTGGAAAAGAATCTACTGTGAATATTTTTTTTTAGTTATCCCAATCAGAAGTGAGGTTTCTGATTCATAAACTAGCATTTGCATGAAAGAATTTTTCAAATCTAGCAAACAATGAAACTTATTCAGCAATTTATCTGTTCAAAAAGGACCCAAACCAAAAGAATACACAGTTTATTCCATGTTGAATTTATGTACTTAAAACAGCAAATTACATGTTAAGCAGCAGTATATTTTTTAAAGCTGTGCTTTTAAAGTTGTAGCAATGTTTTGGCAGAATCTCATCTGCCATCATCAGGCTTCTGTATAGTGTTCATCTGTGAGTCAGACTTTTACAGTGGTTTCAGATTTAAATTTTTCTTCATCCTGATTGGTTGGGAGTCTTGGTCTGTGTTTATTGGTCTTGGAGTTTGCTGTGTTCTGCTTGATTGGTGTTTCTAATATCTTCTGTCTGTTTTGTGGCTCTTTTTGTATCTTGATTAGCTGGCAACATTGTGTTACTTTATTGGAGGCCTTTAGTGCAGCTTGGCTCTGGGAAAATGGATGACTATCATTAGTTAGGAAGCTAGGTTTCATAGAGCCAAGCATGGTGAACTTGATTTTGGGGTGTGTGCTGTTTAGGTGTGTTAGGAAATTGTTTAGGTTTTCTTTTCCATGGGGCCAAATCACAAATGTGTCATCGATTTATCTTAACCATAGTTTGGGTTTCTGGAAGGCATTGGCCGGGGCTCTGGATTCGAATTCTTCCATGAACAGGTTTGCAATGACGGGTGACAGTGGTGATCCCATAGGGGCTCCTTCAATTTGTATCTTTGTCCTTTGTATATGAAATATGTGTTGGTTAAGCAGTGTTCTGTTAGTTCCATGAGGTGTTTAGCTGGTTGGTATTTATTTTTGATGATTTCAAGGGTCTCTCTTATTGGGACTTGTGTGAATAGTGAAACCACATCGAAACTTATAAGCAGATCTTCTTGCTCCACATGTAGATCTTTGATCATTTCCAAGAAGTGGTATGAGTTTTGTATATGTGAAGCTGCTGTTTCAGCATGGGGCTGTAGCTGTTTTGCTAAGTGTTTAGCTAGGTTTTGTAGTGGTGCTCCTCTGGAGCTGACTATGGGTCTGAGAGGTATGCCTTTTTTGTGTATTTTTGGGAGGCCGTATAGTTTGGGGCATCTGGAAGATTTTTCTCTTGGGATGATCGTCTGTTGGATCTCTTTGCTCCTGTGGCTGGTTATAATTTTCTTCTTGGTTAATTTTTCCAGATATGTGGTTGGGTCTGTGTTTATGGGCTTGTCTTGGAGTAGGTCTGTCAATTTTGTTTCATAGTCTTTTCTGTCCATTACTACTGTAGCATTCCCTTTGTCTGCTGGAAGTATGATTATGCTGCTATCTCTTTTCAGGATTTGTAGTGCTTTAATTTCTCCTTTCTGCAAGTTGCTTTTGGATGGTTTGCTTGTGCATAGGATGTTGGTAACTTGGTGTCTTATTCTATCAGCTTCATCTGTATTTAATTTGATTAGGCTGGATTCTACTGCACATATGATGGATTGTGTGGGGATTTTTTGGGTGCTATAGCATAATTGAATCCTTTGGTTAGGACATCTGTTTCTGTTTTGGTGAGTTCTCTGTTGGAAATGTTGTATACTAATTGTTTCAGGTGTTGTTGTGAGTTGTTGGGGGTTTTCTTGTCATGTTCTAATTTCTTTAATTTTTTCAAGAGATTATCATTTTTGTAAGTGGTTTCAGATTCAGCTCTCCAAATTGTAAGTTGTTTTATCTTGTCCCAAAGTAGAGGGTGGATTTTGCTGCTCAATTCCAGGTGTAGTGCTAGCAAATCTTTGTTTAACTGATCTAATTGGAATCTCTTGCTGTGGAGCTCGTTCTTTAGTAGAGCCATTTCAGTTCTTTTCAGGATACGTTTAGTGGCTGCTGTGCTTTGATGAAATGTTAATTTGAAGCAGGTTGGTGTTGTATTGTTGTCTCTGCAACTGCGTAGGAATTGGAGGTCACATAGTATCCCTGCTCTTTTAATTTCCAGTTTCTCGTAGGTTTTGATCTGGCTGTTTATTCCCTCCCCGTAGAGGTTTGTTTTCTTAAGTTTTCGCGGGTACTTACATGTATGGCATTCAGCTTTGTTTGGATATTTTCCCACGTCGTTGTAGTTGTGCTTTTAAAGTTGTAGCAATGTTTCGGCATAATCTCATCTGCCATCATCAGGCTTCTGTACAGTGTTCATCTGTGAGTCAGACTTTTACAGTGGTTTCAGATTTAAATTTGGGGCAGCCTATTGCTGTGCCAGAATGGTTTTTTCTTCATCTTGATTGGTTGGGAGTCTTGGTGTGTGTTTATTGGTCTTGGAGTTTGCTGTGTTCTGCTTGATTGGTGTTTCTAATATCTTCTGTCTGTTTTGTGGCTCTTTTTGTCTCTTGATTGGCTGGCAACATTGTGTTACTTTATTGGAGGCCTTTAGTGCAGCTTGGCTCTGGGTAAATGGACGGCTATCATTAGTTAGGAAGCTAGGTTTCATCTGGGTGCCTGGTTGGGATGTGTTTGAGCTGGAGGTATCGGGGGGATCTGTTTGTGCCCAGGTGTTTGCCTGGGTTGTGGTGTGGAGATTTTTTTGTTTGTAAGTGCAGGCTTCCAAATGATTGACAATCTGGTGGAATCATCTCTTCTATTCATGCTTTCTGGTCTTTTTTCAATCTCTATGGCTTCTCTGGTGATTCTGTGGCTGGGGTTTTCTATAGTGGCTAGGGTTTTGGTGCCATTGAAGTTGATGCTATGACCTGTGGCTTCCATGTGTTGGACTAGTGAGGAAGTGTGTTCCAGCTTTTTGACTGCATGTTTGTGTTCATCCTTATTCTTCTATTGGTCTGTCCAATGTATGTGGCCGGGCATGATGCACAGGGGACTTCGTATATGCCTTGGTTTTCCAGGTCAATTTTATCTTTGGGGTTTCTAAGGATGGTTGCTATTTTTCTGTCTGTTTTGAAGGCAGTCTTGATGTGATGTCTGTGTAGTATCTTACTAATTTTGTCTGTAGTGCCTCTTATGTAGGGCAGGACAGCTGTTCCATAGGTCTGTTCATCTTCTGGGTCTCTATTATGTCTCAGTGTGTTTTTGTGGATCAAGCCGGTGATTATAGCAGCCAGTTAACCATTGATACAAAAGGTGAGATTGAAAATGCAATTGTAAGAGATGGAGTGTGTGTGTGTGTGTGTGTGTGTGTGTGTGTGTGTGTATGTGTGTAAGAGAAGAAACGGAGATCTTGTGATCTCCAGAACTAAAATTATATTTTATTATACTTACTAAGCTTTCATCAGCCTTTGCTGACATCGTCCAAGTATTAAGCTACCATTACAGAGATCTATGCCTTTATATATTATTAATCAATTTAGCCCTTGCATGCATAATAAGCCCTTCCAACCACCTCCCACCTATAATTAACTCTGTTGTTTTTGCTTCAGTCATGTTGGTAGTTGAAGGTTTAACTCTTGTTGTTTCCTCCCTTGTTAGATCCAGCCTGCTTATCTCTAAGAAGTTATGTTAATCTGCCAGCTATTACAATTTGTTGCTTTGCTCATGACACAACTGCTTATTGTTTTCATTTTTCTGATTATGATTACTATTATTGATCTTTTTATGTTTCACACAAGTATGTTGCAAAAGCACCTTGGATAAAATATAAAACAAGTTTTATTTTATTAAGCATCAATACATTTCAATCTAACCATAATAATCTACAAGCAAGAACTGGTGAGTCTCAAAATAGACAACATAATAGAAATTAAGAAAGCTAAATTGCTCTGGGACATTAGAATTCAAACAGGCAAGTGCCTACCACACAACACCCGAGATTAATAATTGTAAAAAAGAAACACAAAAGAAGTCTGCATAGTGGACATTTTAGTAGCTGGAGACAGCAGAAGAGAAGAGAAAAAATGTAAAAAATAAAATAGAATACAAAGACCTGAAAATAGAACTAAAAATATTGTGGCAAAAGAAAGCAATAAACTGGTGGCAGAGTAGATATAGTTGCAAACATTTCTCTCATTTAGAATTACTGGAAATATTTTAAATAGACAAAATAATTTATGGTTTTGAACATTCTAAGACTGATTCATTACATATATAAACTTTTACTGAAATTGGAAGTAAATGAAAAGCAAATGAAATAATGTATGATAAAGTAAGGTAAAAACTTCAGTTATAATAAGAAGAAGGAAAAAGTTAACTTCTAACTTTCTTTGATACAGATGCAATCCTTAAAATCAGTGACCCTTTGAATAAGCAGTTGTGTCATGAGCAAAGCAACAAATTGTAATAGCTGGCAGATTAACAAATGCGTGTCATCATGGTGGCATCATGTGACATATCAGGACCAGCACATGATGCATCTAGCTTGTGGGCCATGAGTTTGACACCCCTGAACTAGAATAACAAGCAGGGTTTCTATCATCACAAACAATTCTAATAATTGAAATTCAGGATTAAAATTTCATTTAATTTCAACACAAAGTTGTGGAGTGTTTTCCAAATAGAAACAGCATTAAATGAAAATTTTATTTTATCAAAGCAGTCAATCTGATCTTCACCAACTGCATTAATTTCACCCTCCATCCTTCCTTTGTGAATATATGTAAGTCCTTTCCACTCTGCATATCGAGGAGTCTTGCTGCTGTTGTCCTATAGAAGAACAAAGTTCCATGGGGTTTTTTTTTTCAATCTGTTTGTCCTTCAGACCTAGAAAAAAGTTTCTGACTTTATTGTACATTCAGTTTAAGAATGCTTCAAACTAAATGTATTCATAATAATTTTTATCTTTATATTCTTGGTACTCATTTGAAGAAAGTCATCTTTTTTAGCTGTCTGCCCAATGCATCTTTGACCTCCTTGTTCCTTAGGCTGTAGATTAATGGATTCAACATAGGAATTACAACAGTATAAAAAATAGAAACGATTTTGCCTTGATTCAGAGAAGCCATTGCTCCAGGCTGACCATACATGAAGAAAGCTGTTCCAAAGAACAAGGTAACAGCCATGATATGAGAAGTACAGGTTGAAAAAGCTTTGCGTCTCCCCTCTGCAGAAGCCATGTGGAGAATTGTGGCCACAATATAGACATAGGAAATCAAAACTATGGTGGATGTTATCATTATGATAAACCCACACAATACTAGAAGCACAATCTCATTTACAAAAGTGTCTGAGCAAGCTGCTTCCATTACAGCTAGAACATCACAGAAGAACTGGTTAATTTTCCCTGGTTCACAATAGGATAAGCTGAAAGTAAGGCTTGTCTGTGTGCAACAGTTGATGAAGCCAAAAAAATAACAAACAATTATTTGAAGTATACAGGTTTTCCTAGACATGGTGATGTTATAAAGCAGGGGATTGCAGATGGCAGCAAATCGATCATATGCCATCACAGCTAGGAAGAAACATTCAGTTGTTCCAAAAAGAGAGAAACAGAACATTTGTATGGCACATGCATTATAGTAAATGCCTTTATCCCCTGTTGCAAAGCTCACCATGGCTCTGGGAGTTATAACTGAGGAATAGCAGATATCTAAGAAAGATAAATTCTTCAGAAAGAAATACATAGGACTTTGGAGTTGAGGATCAAGAGTAATAATAATGATCATTCCAATATTCCCCATCAACGTTATGATGTACAGCAGCATGAAAAGAAAAAACAAACCCAGCTGTAGCTCTACAGGACCTGAGAATCCTTCCAAAATGAATTGTGTGATTTTGGAGTGGTTTCCCATTTTATTTTCTGAAAGATAGAACATGTGACATAAAAGCATAATTGGGGGGGTGCTTAAGCGCACCAATGCGCCTACCGTCCCTGTCCTATTGTTTCTTCTTATTTTTCTTATATGTATCCATTTCATGTATTCATAACTATGTTTATACTTATACCTGTTATCTTATAATCGCTTGACAAAATAAATAAATAAAAAATGAATAATAATACAAGAGTGGCCTTTTTATAGTTGGACTCAAATGACAATAAGTTACCAAGTCAAGGTTCCCTAAATGTTTTACACATTTCCTAGTCCAGTCCATTTTAAGTATCTTATTTATACATGAATACAATAAAACATTGAAATCATTCAACCCTGAAAAAGTAAATCAGCTTTGATCATAATCATTGCTGGGATTGACATTATGGATTTCTTCAGATACCACAAATAAACTTTTAAAGTACAAGTTCATAAATAACTTTAGAGCTTTCTCTTATGTATTTGCATAATGCATCATATACTGAGTAGCAAATAACTGTTTGAATACTCAATTTACTATTTAATTTAAATATTTTGGATACAACCACACTAAACTAATATCAAATATGTGTTTATCTGAGAATTTCCTGATATATTTGTTTTCCTTTATATAGTAAGTACTGTAAAGCCTTTATTTTTACTTCACCATAAGATTCATTCCCCAAATGTTTTAAAATTTATAGTCAGATCAATTTCTGTGATATATTTTATATTTCAATTTTGAACTTGAAAAATTCCAATTTCTATTTATTGTAGCCAAAATACTAATCCCAATCACAAACAATCTGCATTCATTCATACAAATACAGAAAACAACTGTAAAATGAGAAATGAAAATTTCTTAAATTTTATCATTTCCAAAGTAGACCCATATTATAAAAATGTGGGGCTACTATAGAAATTACTAACCATTTCTTTTTGTGTTCTTCTGCATTCTATTGAAATCTACTGCCATTTTTAGCAGATTTCCCCTTCCCCATACCAAAACTTATACTGAAATATATTTAGGTCTATGAGATATCAAAACATTTCCATTATTAGCAGGTAATGAATAATTATTATTTGTGATTATTTTGAATAAATAAATATTGTTTAAAATGTTAACTTACACTCCTCTGTGGCTCTCCATTTAGCTTATTTATGAATTTGATAGGAGAGGAATGCCTATCAATGTCATCTTAGAAAGTCTGTCATTATGCAATGTATCCAGTGAAATATCACATCCTTAGATTAAAATGAGTGCAATACAACTCAGGATTTGGAAAGATTTTACAGAGAAGGAATCAGCTAGAATTGTACATTTATCTGAAGGGAAATTAGGAAAACTATTTTTTCCACAATTATCTGATGAGGAAAGAAAGGAGGAGAAAGAGAGAAAGGGAAGAAAAGGGAGACAAGGAAGGAAGATAGGTAGGTAGGTAGGTAGTCTTTCCCTCAAGTCAAATCACATATTGTTTTATTTACATTAACTCAGAAGTGGTTTCATTCTTACACAGATGAACACCCTTTCCCCCCTCAAAAAATTTCCATATCATCATTTCCCATCTCCAAAAAATCTCTCAGGCTATTTCTATTTTTAACTATGAACAGGAGATATGTAATAGCAGCAACGGCATGCCCTAATCACTTGTTTTAATGTTCTATTTCTTAGTACAAGGATCAAAAGTTCAAAATAATGAAAGAGAACTTTATATATCAAAACATATTGACTAATTAACAAAAATGTGTAAAAAATGTTACACATACAAAATAACATCTGCAGAAACAGGTTTTCTTTCTGGTATGATACATCAAAAAGAATAATTTTTCACCTTGTTATTCAGTAACTGAAGAATAGGATGCACAATTTCAGCTTATGTGAAGACTATTTCAAAGCACTGCACATATTATATTCATAATTGTATAAAAATAACCAGAAAATTTTGCTGAAATGGATGAAAGTTTCTCAAAGCAATACAACTCCTGTATCTCCATCAACAAACATTAAATAAGCATTGTTATCTCTTTCCACAATAATTCTCTCTCTTTAAAGGTAGCAATTGCTCATTTCAATTATATCCCCTAGAGTTGTGGCACCTAATGGGGAGACAACTTTCTTAACTGCAAATAGCATGTGTGCATCATGGTTTGTTCTTCAAGATTAGTCTCAGAAACTCAGAATTAGTTATGAAATATTTTTATTTTAAGATTCTGTTTGTTCATTACTTCCAGTTTTTTAAGATACAATATCTTATAGCTACAATTAATTTAACATTAAAACTGAAGGTTTAGCTTCTACTCCATTCATTCATTCATTCATTTGATTGATTGATCGATTGATTGACCAGTTTATTAATTTCTATAACCAGCCACCTCAGCAAACAACTCTGGGCAGGTCTTAGAAAGTAGTTCTTAGAAAGTTATTCTGTTACCCTGATTCTATGCACTAAATATGTTATACATATATTGAACATATATACTGGTTATATGTTCAGTGAAACTTCTCTTATTCTTCTTAAATATTACTCCCAGACAATGTCTGATGCATAGATCCATCCATCTCTGGATGCAGATAGAATACTTAAGCCACATGAAACTACAATTGAGACATTACTTTATATATGTTTCTTATGGTGTTAATTTGGCTTGCTTATTTATTTATAAATTTATTCATTCATTTGATAGCTCTGAGCAATCAAAAATGTTACTATAATATCTACAATAACAGGTTGAAGGGTCAGTGAAATGAAACTATCGAGTCCTCCTGGGCGCTTGGGAAGCCCGCTCAGCAGAAAACATCTGTGCGCCTCTCCCAGGACCTGCCTGCTCCACCCAGCCAGGACATCCACCACCAAGCGCACCTCGGTCCGGCTGCGAGGTCCTGGCACCGGCGCACTGAGGGCGCCACTGTTCTCTCCCATCTTACCACAGGGGAAGGCCGTGGAGGGAGATGTGAAGTGCCTGCTGGTGCTTGGGTCTATCAGCAGGCGTTAGGGGAGGAAGGAGGTGGTGGTGGTGGTGGCGGAGCTGCTGCTGTTGCTGCTGCTGCTGCTGGCTGAGAGGCGAGGGAAAGGCATGCCCAGGGTGCAGCAAGACAGATGCCCAAGAGCGCACGGCAGGCTGCTCTGAAGCCAGGCGCGGGAGAAAACCGCCCCAGCCCCCCCCGTGCAGGTCAGGCCCTCACTGCCACTGCCAGTCCTGGCCGCTCTGGCCGCCAGTTGCTCCTTGGGGCGCAGCTCTTCCTGTGGCCCGTTGCGCTTCTCGTGCTTCTCACCGCCGGTGGTGCTCGGGGCTCCGCCTGAGCCGAGCGGTGGGAAGAGCCACGTCGAAGCTGCAGCGGCCGGCTCAGATCTCTTGGTCCCTGGGGATTCCCCGAGACCAAGAGATCTGAGCCAGCCGCTGCAGCTTCGACGCGCCTCTTCCCGCCACTCGACTTTGCCGTCCTGTGGCGCTGGGTTCCGGAGCGCAGCCCCAAGGTCTGCCGGCCATGATGGGGAGCCCGGAGCTGCTCAGCGGGCAGTTGGCCAAACCCCAGAGTGCTCCTTTGGTGCCGCCTCCCGCGCCCCCTTCCAAATCAAATGCGGCTCAGGCGAAATCAAGCAGGGCTCCATCAGTGGCGGCCGCAAGGGCAGTGCTCGGGGATCCTTCTCCTGCAGTCACGATGGAGGGGCAGGGAGGCAAGCCGGCAGCATCCCGCGCTCCTCCCGGCACGGCGGCTTCTCTCCCCATGAAGGGACTGCGGTGAGACCTCAACAGGTTTCAGCTCTCTTCGCTCCACCGGGCTCCTGCCCCCTTTTCCTGCTCCGCCTGACAAGCCCGCCAGGCGCCCTTCTCGCTCTCCGCCACCTGCCCTCCGCCTCAATCATCTCCTCTCGATGCCTCTGAAAGCAGCCGAAAAGTGGCCGCGATTACATACGGACCAATCTTCGGCGGGCTGGATTAACAAGACCAACGGGCCTGTGGGCCGTAGTTTGCCCACCCCTTCTCTAGACAGAAAGATACATTACTCTCAAAGTACTACCTCATGCAATCAGCTATAATGTCATACAACTACCACAGACAACTACAATGATCTAATACATATCAATTTTACAGAAGACAATGTTGAAAAGGCATTATGCAATCTAAAATGATCTCTATCTATTGGACAAGACTGAATATGTGCCTACTTCTTAAAAAAGCATATCCACTGCCATAGCTGAACCTCTAAGCATAATTTTTGAAAAATCTTTCAGGACCAGTTCCTTGCCAAAACTATGGTCACAAGCCACGGTCATCCCCATCTTTCAAAGGGAGACCCCAGCTGAGTTGAAAATTGCAGAACAATCTCTTTATGCTTCGTCTCCTGTAAAGTCATGGAATCAATTATTAACCAATTCATCATCCTCCACTTAGAAACAAACAACCTACTCTCTAATAAACAATTTGGTTTCAGAAAAAAACTATCATGTAATCTACAACTCTTACACTGCAAAAACATATGGACTACATAACTCGATCAGGGCAAAGCAATAGATGCAATTTACTTAGACATCTGTAAAGCCTTTGATTCAGTGGTACATGACAAACTACTCCTAAAACTAAAATCTTATAGTATCTCTGGACACCTGCATAACTGGTTAGAAGCATTCCTGTCAAACAAACAACAAATGGTCAAAATTGGGAACCTCCTATCAAATTCTGTACCTGTCAACAGTGGTATCCCCCAAGGCAATATTCTAGGACTAACTCTCTTCATACTCTACATAAATGACCTCTGTGATCATATCAAGAGCAACTGCATTCTTTTTGCTGATGATGTAAAGCTATTCATCACCACAGACAATATTGCTACCTTTCAAAAAGACCTTGACTATGTATCAGAATGGTCAAACAAATGGCAACTTCAAATCTCAACAAATAAATGCTCTGTCTTACATATTGGCAAAAAAATCAGAAAATAAAATACAATCTGAATAGTCAAGACCTTGTTGATGATCCAAACTCTGTCAAGGATGTTGGAGTACTCATCT